CCCCAAAACCCCAAAACCCCAAAACCCCGCTATCCGCTCCTAAATTGAAAATTGTTCTGCAGGAATCACTCATAGCCTACAACTGAGGAAGGGGGCGGGACCTAAATTTGCTAAAGGCGATCCTCTTAGGCTGATTTCTTTGCTCAGAATATTCTCCAACTTTCTTGCTAGTGTTTAGCTTGATATTGATATATTCTAAAATCCATTAGATGCCACACAAACCATGAGCAGTGCCGATATTCTTTGATTGGATAATTTTGTTCATAAATCTCACTTTTGGTGATTTCCTTCCTAGACGTTATGCAGAGGTCTTACTCTCTTTTGCTCGTAAGAAGTGACTCGCTAGATATTTATCTTGCTTCAACTTGTCGATATCATAATGCATGCTTCAGAACCTAGAATTATTTGACACACTTACGATGCCCTTGTAAATGGTGTATTATGAGATCTTTTTAATGGCTATATGGATATTTTTAATCTACATTACCTTATTTCTGCTTGTGGATGAACTTCTTAGGAATTTTAGCCACCAAATTTTCAAAGATATTGCCATAGTTAGGCTCCTTATTTGCCTTTTTATTTAGAATCCTCTTGTTCTATAGGGTCTCTTTACAAATATTACCAGAAGTTCTCTCATTCTCAATGGATCGAGCTGCTTCTTTAGTCAAAACTTTGTTTTGTCTGCTATATCCTTACTTGCCCATCTTCAGCAGGAGTGGACAATTTGTTGAAAGAATCGTTAATTGAGATCCTGCTGATATTTAAGCTGTTAAGTCCTAAATTATAGCACTAAAATTTACTGCTATCGTCTTTATTTCAAAGAACCTTTCCGACTAGTTCCTCACTCAGGAAGGTGAGGGATCAACGAGGCTGATGGAGATATATTTGTACTCTCTCTGTTCCTTCGACGCACCGAGTGACTGTGGTCGTTTGGTATTTCTAGACAAGAATTGAATAATCTAATTACTTTGAAAGTTAGTATCGTATCCCAGAATATCTGTATTCCGAGCTTCAACATAAAATTCAGGACCAATTAGACTTTTGTTTTGATTTCTTCTACCCCGGAATATGTTTCTAGTGCCTCTGTTCGAGCCTTTATAAAGCCACGATTTCATAGTTGTAAAAATAATCAATAGGGCTAAAATTTTTAGGGGTTTTGGGGTTTTGGGGTTTTGGGGTTTTGGGGTTTTGGGG